TTTTCCAGACAAGATTTCTCTGAAAATGAAGAATAAGAAATGAATGAATTGTTCTAAGGAAGACAAATGAAGAAAAGGTAGTCCAATTGTCTAATTGTCCTGTGCTCCTGCTCTCTAGTGATTCATCAGTGCAAATATTTGCTCCAACATAGGGACCGGAAATTGATGAACAGGACGAGAAATGGAGAATCATGTTAAATGTTCTTTATTTAAATATTATTACTTTCTTTGTAGACAACAATTAATTTCGAACCGTATCAATGTTATGGAATAGAAATTGAAAGGAGAGAAAACAAGAAAAAGTGAACTAATTGGATCTACAAACTCCGTTTGGTTCGATTTTCATGTTGTGACGAGAGAAGTCGATGAATGCCTGAAACATTTAAAACTTAACAGTTGAATAATTTTAAAAAATAGATTTGGGATAAGTTTGAGAAAAATCTAGATTTGGTGTTCAAAGTAGTTTAGAAACGAAAAATTCTGCTATTTTAAAATTTCAGAATCCAAAGTTTTTTGTATGGTTTTAAAAGATCCTGACCGTCCCTGACCGTCAACTTTTTGATCTCGATTATCTCAATTTCTGTGAAAGATTTCAAAAAGTTGTCAACTTATAAATTGTTTATCGTAATGTCACCAATATTTTGCTAGTTTACAAATTTTTGATACCTTTCACAGGAACCGAGAAAATATGACTCGAAGTTGACGGGCAGAGTCAAACGTTTTTTTAGAGATTTTACGGTTTTTGGAACTACGACAAGGCTTCAGAACGAATTTCAGAAAATAGAAGATCAAAACTTTAGAATTTCTGAATAACCCTTCGCCACATCTCCTTTTCCCCTTATTAACAAACCTTGGACACCTCAACCAACGCGGCATTCTGTGGTTCACTGGAGCTCCGCCCCGAGCTATTATTATGATTAGTTCTTCGTCGATGAATCGGTGTTGAAACTAAAATTCGCTCCTCAAGTTCATACATCGGATCACAGTTGAGACCCTCTTTACATGGAATAAATACTGGTGCTGGCTTTCTGAACAAAAATGGATTATGAAGATAAGAGAACATTGTAATTTACCTTTCGAAAACACTTTTGAAATCTATTCGTTCTGTGTATGCATGCTTTTTGATTGCTTCCAATCCGACTAAACGTTTTTCTTTGTCGAATTTCAGCATTGCATTGATAAAGTGGATGAGATCTGTTGGCCAATGAGCAGGATAGGGAATCGAGGCATCGTGGATGGGGACATAGTCACGACGGCCACCAGCATTTCTCTTCCATAGCTCCGATTTTTTGGTCCAGAAAAATTGTTCAATGATTCCGATCCCAAAATCAGATACTTCTTCTAGCTACCGTAACCCTTAACCTATTTCTGAATAGAAATCGCTCTTTGGAGTTTCTTTGAATAGCCACTACAATTTTTTCCCCAGAAAATCTAAACATTTGAATTATCCAGTTCATCAATTGTACTTGTTTGTCAAAATACCCAACATTGTATTCATATCTAATTGACTCTATTTTGCTTGTATTCTCTGAAAATCATGAAAGATATTTGAAAGTTATATATGGAAAATCACATTTTTCTTCCCACATTCCTTTCGGAAGCTTTCTCCTCCATATTTTTTCCCATTCTGCAAATATCAAAATACATATAAATTGAGCGAGGGATAGAGGAGAAAGAACAACTAGGATTATTGGAAAAAATATGAATCACTTTTTTCCCGTTCGGTGCTTCAGCATTTTCTAAATTCCACAATTTCAAGCCAAAACGTTTTTGGAAAAGAAAACTTACTCTTTGACAATATTCTGATTGAGATACCCTTTTGGTGTAAAATATCCACTGTTCGCTGTCCCATTTTCAATTGTAGCAGCATTCGGAGCAGGTACCACTGTATCCATTTTTCTGAAAACAAAAAGAATGATTCGTCTCGAAAAGACAAATGAAGTAAATGAAAGCGAGGCAAATGAAAGGTATTTTCACTTTACACCACAGTGTTCTTTCTT